CTGCTGCCAGGCTGGAGTGCAGTGGCATGATCTCGGCTGACTGCCACCTCTGCCTCCCAGGTTCAGGTGATTCTCCTGCCTCAGCCTCCCAAGAGGCTAATTTTTGTGTTTGTAGTAGAGATGGAGTTTCACCACGTGGGCCAGGACGCTCTCAGTCTCCTGACCTCGTGATCCGCCTGCCTTGGCCTCCCAAAGCGCTGGGACTACAGGTGTGCACCACTGTGCCCAGCCAGGATTCTGTTTTTACACAGTCTAAATTTTTACAAAATTCTGGCTGGGCATGGTGGCTCACGCCTGTAGTGGCAGCACTTTGGGAGGCCAAATCAGGCAGATCACCTGAGGTCAGGAGTTCAAGGCCAGCCTGGCCAACATGGTAAAACCCCATCTCTACCAGAAGTACAGAAAAATCAGCTGGGCATGGTGGCCACACCTGTAATCCCAGCTACTCAAGAGACTGAGGTAGGAGAATTGCTTGAACCCAGGAGGCGGAGGTTGCAGTGAGCCGAGATCATGCCAAGGCATTCCAGCCTGGATGACAACAGCGAAACTCCGTCTAAAAAAAAAAAAAAACCTCGATATGAAGAATTCAGTTTTTTTGTTTCTAGGACCTTGAGATTCAAAAGTCTTAAGGTTCTAGGATTTGGCCGGGTGCAGCAGCTCACACCTGTAATCCCAGCACTTTTGGAGGCTGAGGCAGGCGGATCACCTGAGGTCAGGAGTTCCAGACCAGCCTAACCAACATGGTGAGACAGTCTCTACTAAAATACAAAAAATTAGCTGGGCGTAGTGGTGGACACCTGTAATCCAGCTACTCAGGAGGCTGAGGCAGGAGAATTGCTTGAGCCTGGGAGGCAGAGGCTGCAGTGAGCCGAGATTGTGCCACTGCACTCCAGCCTGGGCAACAGAGTGAGACTCCATCTCAAAAACAAAACAAAGTTAGCCAGGCAAGGTGGTGAGCACCTGTAATCCCAGCTACTCAGGAGGCTGAGGCAGGAGAATCTCTTGAACCTGGGAGGTGGAGGTTGCTGTGAGCCGAGATAGTGCCACTGCGCTCCAAGGCCTGGATGACAGAGCAAGACTGGGTCTCCAAAAAAAAAAAAAAAAGATTGATACGAAGAATTTAGTTTTTTGATTCTAGCAGTTTGAGTTTCAAGTCTAGATCTTAAGATTCTAGAATCTGGCCGGGCGCAGTGGCTCATGCCTGTAATCCCAGCACTTTGGGAGGCCCAGGCGGGTCAGGAGATCGAGACCTTCTTGGCTAACACAGTGAAACCTCTTCTGTACTAAAAAAAAACACAAAAAAATTAGCCGGGCATGGTGGTGCATGCCTATAATCCTAGCTACTCGGGAGGCTGAGGCAGGGGAATCACTTGAACCCAGGAGGCAGAGGTTGCAGTGAGCAGAGATTGCGCCAAGGTACTCCAGCCTGGCAACAGAGTGAGACTCCGTCTCAAACAAAAAAGGTTCTAGGATACTCTGCACTGCCCCACCCTCTCTCCGCCGGTTCCGGTACCTGGGTCCACCGAGAGCCAAGTTCCATTGCCCTCGGCCTTCTCCAAGTCAGGAATCTCTATGATCGCCTTGCACACGTAGGTTCCGCTGTGGCTGAGGCTCACAGGGTCCAGCCGCAGGGTGAGGTGGCTGGGTGCCTGCCAGGAGAGTCGTCCCTGGGGCCCACAGAGCCCCTGGCTGAGGTGACCATTGGTGATGTACGGCTGGCACGTGACATTCCCATCCTTGGTCCACACAACACGGAGCCGTTCCCAGGCCAGCGCCTGGTCCACGTGGCAGTCCAGGGTCGCCTGACTGCCCTGCCTCACCTGCAGCCGCTGGGGCCCCTGCTGCACGCGCAGGCTTGAGGCTCCTTGCAGGGCTGAGGACAGAAGAGATGGAGTTGACCTTTCTTAGTATGTGCGTGTGAGGCTGTGTGACTCACTCCCCGAGGGAGCCCACAGTCTGGGTTTGAAACCCAACTTGTCGGGGGGATCACGAGGTCAAGAGATCGAGACCATCCTGGTCAACATGGTGAAACCCCGTCTCTACTAAAACTGCAAAAAATTAGCTGGGCATGGTGGCGTGTGCCTGTAATCCCAGCGACTCAGGAGGCTGGGGCAGGAGAATTGCCTGAACCCAGGAGGCGGAGGTTGCGGTGAGCCGAGATCGCGCCATTGCACTCCAGCCTGGGTAACAAGAACGAAACTCCGTCTCAAAAA